CATCACTTGTCCAGAAAAGTCTCCATGGTGAAGATAGAGGGTGAAGCATCATGCTGTTGTGGTAGGGCTGCTCAATTAATCGAATTTTAATCACAATTACGACCTGAGTTTTGAACGATTATAAAAACAAAACAAGCCGATTATTTGCTCCTCCCGCTTGCGCTGCCCTGAGTTGCAAATGAAGCGCTCCTCCCTGACAGTGTTGCCAACTTGGCGACTTTGACGCTATTTCCATCAGCTTTTCAGATCCCCTTCTTGACTTTTTAAATCTTAAAAGTACCTAGCGAACGCCTCAGAAACATCTCTGGTAACCCTTAGCTACTTTCTGGATAACTGTCGTTGACATTTCCTGCAGGTTAGCTAAACACTCCGCCTGTGCTCCGGACCGTTCTTCAGGACATTAGGAAAGGGAATGATGTAGTGATGTGTCAGTCGCTAAAGAAACAGATCTCGGAGCCGGCTCCTTGTTGGTGTAACCAGAGCGAGTGACACACACCGCACCTGCGGGCTCCTGAGCCACTAAAAACGGCTAAATGTGCGCGTGCGGCGCGCTAAACACACGTGCAGCTTGCCCCTGATTGCTGTGAGACCGGGTTGGGGGGGTGGGGGTGCAGCTGTGGTTGGGACAATTATTACATTAACTGATGGACTTGTAAATAAATAGTTTATAAATAAGGTAGAAATAAGTTCCTCACGCTGATAAATAATAACTAATCTCTCTGAGGACATGGTGCTAGTGCACACTCCTACAGCACCTTGACACGACTCAATAAATGTTACACAAAATTTAGTGAACATCAATTTGCATGTATTTGTTATAAATGCCACTGTATAATTCTTGCTGTCAGTATTTGCAAGATATTGGTATTTGGGTCTGTACTGGTTAGACTTAAATGAGTTAAACCAAGGTCTATAGCCCTTGGGTCATAAACTATGAGTTATAAGTATATTGGTCTTTTTATACTGGGAATCAGGAGTTATTTTAGTGATCATCTTGTTTCTTATTTATTTTTGCCCTGATTGTGCCCTGAGGAATTTTATGACTGAATAAAGACAAATAAAATCAACGTAAATTGAAAAATCATCCTAAACAATCGAGATCTCAATTTCAGTCACAATAATCGTGATTATTGTTTTTGCCATAATCGAGCAGCCCTATTTTGTGGGGGTTTTTTTAGCTGCAGGGACAGAACGACTGGTTGCAATCAAGGGAATGAGGAATGCAGCCAAGTACAGGGATATCCTGGACAAGAACCTTCTCCAGAGTGCCCAGGACCTCAGACTGGGCCAAAGATTTCACTTCCAACATGACAATGACCCTAAGCACACAGCTAAAATAACAAAGGAGTGGTTTTACAGCAACACTGTGACTGCTCTTGAATGGCCCAGCCAGAGCCCTGACTTAAACCTAATTGAGCATCTCTGGAGAGACCTAAAAATGGCCGTCGACCAACGTTCACCATCCAACCTGACAGAACTGGAGAGGATCTGCAAGGAGGAATGGCAGAGGATCCCCAAGTCCAGGTGTAAGAACCTTGTTGTATCTTCACCAAGAAGACTTGTGGCTCTAATAGCTCAAAAGGGTGCTTCTACTAAATACTGATCGAAGGGTCTGAATACTTAGGACCATGTGAGTCCTTCAAGACTGATGAAAACCATTTCAGGTGACTTCCTCTTGAAACTCATCAACAGAATGCTAAGAGTGTGCAAAGCAGTAATCAGAGCAATGTGTGGCTATTTTGAAGGCATTTGAATGTAAAACATGTTGTCAGTTATTTCACCTGTTTTGGTTAAGTACATAACTCCACATGTGTCCATTCATAGTTTGATGCATGGACGTAATTTTGGGGGGGGGGGGGGACGGGGGGGACAGGGGGGACATGTCCCCCCCACTTTTTCCAAAGTCAAGCTTTGACCCCTGCACTTTTTACCATACAAAAACAATATTACGCTATATTAAATTGACACTGGTTGAGCTCTAGGACCAAGCAGAAAACAACCATTTGTGTTGAAGCCTGTTTCCCATTAGAACATACTGTAAAGATCCCCCCCCCCCCCCCCCCGTGTCCCCCCCACTTCTAAAGTGAAAATTACGTCCATGGTTTGATGCCTTCAGTGAGAATCTACCAATGGTCATGAAAATAAAGAAAACGCATTGAATGAGAAGGTGTGTCCAAACTTTTGGCCTGTAATGTATACATACAGTACGCAAGTGATGCACGTTCACGAACGAGTGGTATTGTAGCTGTAATCATGGAAAAAGGGAGGGGGGCTTAGTTGCAACACTTTTCCTACCTCTAGATGGTGCACTTTGAAAAAATACTCCAGATTTTTGCTTTAACTGAGGTATTGGGAGTCAAAAAGTGTGTAAAAGGGATGTGGTGGAAATCTATAAAACAAAGTTGTGATTCAATGGAGACCAAAAAAAAAAAAAAAGACCCACACTTCTATAACACCTTTCTCAGCAATGACTTGAGGTAAGTCATGGATTTGTTGGAGTATTGTCCTGTCCCATGAGACATTGCTGGTCCAAGCTGCAGCTACAGAACAAACAACATAACATTTGACTCTAAAATACTTTTGTTTACAAAAAAGTTCAACTTAAAGAAAGATAAGTAACTTTGCAAACCCAAGCTGTGATAAAAATGTCCTAACCGAGAGAAGAGGCTTCCTCCAGGCCACCCTTCCAAATATGAAACGCTCTTTTTCCAACTAAACTGTCATGAACTTTAACATTCACCATGCTAACTGAGGCTTGTAAGAGTCTGAGATGTAGCTCTTGGGCTTCAAGCAGTTTTCTGAGCTGTACATGATCTGACCTTTTGGGTAAATTAGCGCTATATTTGTTAAATAAAAAAATAACATGGAATCACATGTCTTATGACTGCTGTTTTAGTTATATTTTAATCTATCCGATTTATTTCCAGATAGCACAGTGCTGTTACACGTAGGGTTATGAAAAATTACAAAGTAGGTGGCCTACTGTCTACTGATTTTAGCTTGTGTGTATGACAAGTCAGAAAATATACTGCATCCCAAAAAAAATTACCGCTAGGAAAAATCTGATCTGGATTGATTCAAGATTGTAAAAAAATAGAGAAATAAAACAAACTTCCACTTCCTTATACTGGAAAATTGTGACCTGTTTATTACATTATGGGATGTGTTTAAACATTTCCAGACAATTACAGGTAAACTACATTTTCCAGATATCTGAATGTTACTCATTATGAATTTGTGAGTCGATGTCTAACGTTCTCTACTGTTCCATGAGCCAGTTTCTGTGACCAACCGTGCAAACCTACGGTGCCCGTCTGGTGACATTGAGGAAAAGAAAATAACTTGTGGCTACGAAATACTTGATGCGTGATGTTGCTAAGTCATTGCCACGACTTATGAATGCATTCCCACAAGATATTAATGCGTTCCCACAAGCTATTAATGTGTGGCCACGAGATACTTAATGCATGGGAATGAGTTATTAACTCGTGGCCATGACTTATTAATGTGCTCCTACGAGATAGTTAATGTGCAAACACGATTGCACCACATTACCGCCACGGTCTGACCACTTATAAACGACCTAAGGCTCCCTGATGCCGGCTCAGCATTGCGGCAAATTGGCGGCATCGTTTTCTAAGAGGCCTCATGAAATGAACTCTAAAGACAATAGTTGATGAGAACATTGAGTTTCTTACCTGGTTGTGATGCTCAATGCCCATGCTGATGGTGTTGATGAGAATGGCGATCATAATGCCCCGGCTGAAGTACTTGCTCTCAACAATGCCCCAAAGTTTCCTCCTCATACCTTTCCAAAGGTCTCTACACCGTCCAAAGCACGTCCTCCTCTTCTTTCTCTGTCCACTGTCCTTTTCTAGGCGATCCTTCTCTTTGTCAGTTTCCTTCACAGCATCCTCTTCACTTTCTTCACCGTTAGCTGAATCTCCTACGGTCTGTGTACCTTCTTTCAAAGATAAAGCACAGACGGAACAATCCTCTGGGTTGTCAGGGACAGACAGACAGATGGAGTTGGCTTGTGTCTGAGAGCTGTGCTCCTGTTTGTTGTGATGTGGACATTTGCTTGCTATGGGAACACAGCAACAGAAAAGTGTAAGTCTTTTCAAATCATGTATCTCTTTTTTTTTACTGTAGAGCAAAGCCAATAGAGGATAAAAGGTGTTTTTAGGTACAGACATGTTCAACACAATATTTTAAATCATCCTAGGTCTTTGATAAAGCAAGCTAACTCAAATAGCCCCTCTCCTCTCCCTCGTCTGAGTCAACAGGGTCTCTGCTGGCCTGGCCCTCAAGTGAGAAGTTATGGTCACATGCCAGAAAGTGTGAATTGGTGTGAAACTGTCCGTCGAGTTGAAGCTCGAGACCTTGTTTTCTGCACTTTTTCTCCTTTTTTTTTTGACGAAAATGGCCTCTTGTATTCTTCTCAAACTACTGATCATCTCTTAAAGGACAGTACAAATCAGAGGCGTGGACTCGAGTCACATGACTTGGACTCAAGTCAGACTCGAGTCATTATTTAAGGACTTCTGACTTGACTTGATAAAATGTTATAAAGACTTACAACTTGACTCGGACTTGAACGCCAATGACTTGTGACTTAAAATGACTTGCATCTGTTGACTTAATGATGACTTGAGCATATTTGACATTTTAGCACAAAAGTGGCACGACATGGACAAAAATCATAAATCATTCTTCGTTCTGGGTTTGATCTTGTACTGTTAAATGCAGCAGCACTTGGTTTATAATCAGTTTCAGTTGCACTTCCTGCTTGTTTGAGCAAATAAATGAAGCTTTAAGAAGCTTTATTTCTGGAATTTATTTATTATCATTGTCATTAAATTAAAGTTGAACAGATGACTTGATTATGACTTGAAAATTCAAAGATAAGGACTTGGACTTGACTTGGACTTCCACATCATTGACTTTGGACTCGACTTGGACTTGGTTGTCTTTGACTTGGACACTACTCGATACTTGACTGGAAAGACTTGTGACTTACTTGTGACTTGCAAAGCAGTGACTTGGTCACACCTCTGGTACGAACCATATACACAAAGTAGTCTAGTGCACGATTCAGACCAACACAGGTCTAACAACCCCAAAGAATGTAAGAACAGAGTTAGCTTGCATTAATGACGCACTCAGCTAAACCAAAAGTTTAAATTAAGGGTCCTTTCCACTAGAATCGACAAAGTCCCATGCAGGAGAAGTCTTAAAAGTCAAACAACCTTTAATTGCACCACGACCAGCATACCCTGCTTTACTGAGAACCTCCAAAAACACATTTGATGACATTATATAAACTTATAGCCCATGAATTAAAGTGACAATGTGTATTTTCCCTGGCGATAGGGGGGGCAGTACATACCTAAATCATTGCAGGCAAGCAGTATTTTTGCATTCGAGTAAGACCTTACCAGTGAATGGCCATTAGGGTCAAAAACCCCTGAGAGTGCAATTTTCGAACAAGTACTTCATCAGATCCTTCAACTTCCAGCAAAATGACAAGCACACCAGACTCGCTTTCATCGCTGGCAATGAGTGAATGTGGTAAATGAGGTAAATGTTTAAAACAACATTCATGAATGGTGAAAGTTTTGTTACCACTTGTTTTAAACCAGTAAATGTGTTTTGTCCTCACGGGCTCCTGTAGAAGGAGATATTGCGTTTAAAATGGCATCGCCCAGAGAATTTAACCCACCCCCATGTATTTTAAACCTGATTTTTATGGCTTGGTGTGAGAAATATTTTTCAACATCATTTTATTCATTTTCAACAACATTTCGAGGGATATTTCTGGAGAATAATTGTAAAAACTTCACTGATTCTCTTTCAAAGATTAAATTCATATCCAACATTCACACACTTCAGAGCATTACCGGTGCTAGACATTACATCCACGAGACATTCCAACTCACATTTTGGATGCCTGTAATGATGTTGCTCTCTGTTCACATTCCCCCCTCCTCTCCTGTTCCCTCGGCCTCCGGTAGGCGGTGGGGGCTTGCCCCTCAGAGTGTAGTAGAGAGCCGCTGATCTCCTCTTTGCCTTGCGAAGGACATGGCAGACGAGCTGGAAGAGCTCCTCATAACAATCTCCTGGCTCTGTCATGCTGGCCAAGGTGGAGGAGGACAGGCACTGTGCCCTTTGCTCCTGCATCAGCTGGTGTTCTCGCTGCTTGGTTTCTGAGAACTGGGTGGCGATGACCACCAGGCACAGGTTGATCATGAAGAATGAACCAATCTGGTAAAAGGATGAAAAGTTAGATCATGTTTGACGGTAGAACAGTAAATAAATAGCCGGCGGATAAAGCAGCATGTGCTTTATCCAAGAAGCATGGAACTTGAGAGGAATTGAGATTATCTAATGACAGATTTGTGCATCAGACTTACACAGCATACTGATTCCAGTCATATGTCTCAACGCCCAATGAGAAATGATGCACACATGCTAAAGGTCTCAGAGGTCTGGCCTCCCACCAACCAAAGCTGATTGGAGCAGAAGGAGAGACAGCAAATGTCCACAGCTTATCAGCGTCTGGCTCTCTTTTCTTTTATTTGGGTTAATTCTTCGACTTTCTAAATAGACGGTCATGTGGGAGAATGTATAATAGACAGATTACTTCTGCAGTTGTTTCGTTTCTTTCTGTTGGTAAAAGTAACAGATTTGCTGAAGTGGTCACACACAACTCAAACTAATCAGTGTCTTAATGAAGTCCCACAAATTCTCTGGTAAACCAATGATTTTCATAAATGACCAATGGGAAAGCTCTTTAATAGACCCACCCACGTTTAACTAATGAAAAAGAGTAAACTGAATTGATTTGTGGCAGCCTGTCTCTGGTTTGGTTATGGCGGTAGCCAAAGCCTGACACTGTTAAGCTATGTGTTAGTTTACATTTATCAGGACTTGGAGCTCCCCCCCCGTCTCCTACACATCTTTGGGGGGGGGGGGGGGGGGGGGGCAGATCTGTGGCCCCTCACACTCTCTATTGGACGCTTTTATAGAGAAACCTTACATTAACAAGCGCGTGTACACACACAGGTGCTCATATGGTGCTCTCATAAGTATGGGCTTGGGCATGTTCAACACATGTCTACAAAGCATTCAAAAACAATAACAATAAAGTTTTAAGTATCAGGCGTGACGTTAAAAGCAGACACTTTGAAGCTCCACCTGAGAGTAAATCTGTAAGGCTTGTCACCAGCATTCAGACATCAATTCTGTTTGCTTCACAGCCAGACAGGACACAGAAAAAAATGTTTACATTTATTTTTCTGTGAAAGGAATAGGTTTTGATTTTCAGTTTAGAACTTTTAGTTATTGAATTTTGATCTGATTTTCAACACCTGACCTATCATCACACAGCAAAAAAAGACAAATACCTGAATAATTAACAATATTGTGCAATCTTCAAATCACACACAGGTTTATGGTTGCTGTGCCCAGCAATTTGAAAAACAAACCGACATCCTTGTGCACACCTGTTCAAGCGTGAAACAGCTGGAGCAAAAGATGCATGGATACAAAAACCCAAACCTAATGGCCTCGGACTTTCATCCGTGGTGATCAAAGGTACATGGCAAGGTGGAGGGCAGAGTGGGCAACTCTTAGATATTTATGGTAAGAAAAAGAGAGAAAACATCGGCGGGAGGCTTGTGACGGGAGGAGAGATACCCATCTGTGGCGTGTGGGTCAAAGTGGGTCTGCAGGTGCATGAGGCTTTGATTTCCCTCCAGGGCTTGCATCTGTGTGAATGTCTACTCTGTGATTCTGATCAGCAGACAGCTTAATGCATAATCAGATGAAGGGGGGGCAGTCGAGTCATCATCAGGTGATCAGAGCATTATGCATGCACACACAAATCAAAATGCCAAACCCAGCATAGAGCACATTGCTGGTATGAACTTCATCATTGCTGATGTCACACGTATCATTTAGTAATGTTCTTCTTCCTAATAATTGCCCTCTCAGAAGCAATGCAGCACTCAGACGGACACTTCTTTTCAGTCTCACTCTTCATTGTGCCACCGATAAAGGAACTCACTGTAGATAGCACACTTGCTTTATGTTTGACATCGGTGGAGGTCAAACTTCTTTTTCGTCTCACAATTTTTGTAACTGTAGACTGTACCGGCTCAATTACCAGTATTGACAGTTTGTACTGTTCAGGAAACATCTTGAGCCTCTTGTGCACAAGTTGAGAAGGTTTCTAAGGGTCTAAAAGATGTTTCATTTCATTATCAAAAAGCAATTGAGAGCCATTTGCCCAGACTCCTTAGGCAAACATGTATAACTGTAACCAAAATGTCCAACCAAACCACTGTCACTGAGTTGGGCTAAAGGACATTGAGACTCATTGATAGTCATGAATTTCAAGATTATGAAAGAAAAAACTAAATAAGTAAAACTTAAATATCCTGTAAAATATACTGTAAATGGAGTCTGCTCCACCGAATGCAATAATTACATCTCTGTGTTACAACACAGATGTTTGTACTGCCCTATTCATTCTTTAGAAATCTAAAATATGATACTGAACACATAAAAGTGTTTTCATTTTTCATAAAAAAGGATACAAAAGAGATTAGTGCAGGCAAGGTCATCAAACTCTCAAAAATTTCTCGGCGCTTCCAAGGCGTTCATTTAGGACTCCAGAAACTGAGTAGCCAAAAATCCTGGAGCTTTAACTCATTAACTGCCATTGACGACAAAAGCCATCATTTTTAATTCCAACCGTTCACTGCCAATGGCACAGTCTCAATACTCACACTGCACCCTGCGGTCTTTAGCAAAGTGCACTTGGAGAAACTGCGCAGGAAGGCTTCGAGTGCATAGTACACAAGTGTGCAAATAATAGCCAAATTGAAACAGGGAGCATTGAGTCATTGATCGCAACGCATGCCGGGATGCTGGTCGCTGTGGTACTTTGTTTAAAAAACCTTTATTAACAACTTTCAAACAACCAACCAAACAATTATTTGAAATAAATTTACTTTTATTGCTGCTTTGTCTAAAAGTTTTAGAGCATCAACTAATCGTCCTAAAATGAACTAATTTCATTAGAAAATACATGTTTTCAGAAAAGGAACTTGAGCCTTTTTTCCCCACAGCAATGGGCTGTGGGTAATACACTTCATCCAAGTCGCTGCAGACTTAGATGAAGTGCGGATCGCTGGTGCAAGAGGTTCGTGATCAACTTCCACACTTGTGAATTGGGACACCCTATGCACTCGCACTCCCGGTCGGGATCACGCAATTTAAGGGCGCAAGGGTGGAAATGCGAGTATTGAGATTGGGCCAATGACTCCATTTGCATTTTTTTCTGTCTGGGCTTTGGAACGAGCCCCTGCACCGTGAGAACAAAACCCAATCCCAATACTCGCACTTGCACCCTTGTGCCTATCAATTGCACGTTTCCGGCCAGGGGAGCGAGTGCGTAGGGTACCGATTCTCAAGTGCAGAAGTGTACCACGCCCCCATTAGACCCTTAATCTGCACTTCACCCAAGTCCGCAGTGATGCGGACCTCGGGCAAGGGTATTACCCACAAGTCATTGCTGCAAGAGAAAAGGGTCAAGTTCCTTTTCTGAAAATATGTATTTTCTAATGAAAATTAGTTAATTTTAGGATGATTAGTTGATGCTCTAAAACTTTTAGACAAAGCAGCAATAAATGTAAATTTATTTCAAATAACTGTTTGGCTGTTTGTTTGAAAGTTGTTAGTGAAGGATTTTGAAAAAAATAAAATAAACCACAGCAACTGGCATCCTGGCATGCGTCGTGATCGATGACGCAATGCTCCCTGTGACGCCTCAAAAGGCATTTATGTCATTTATATTTTATGTTTCATTAAAAGTTATTCATTTATGTGTATTTAAGTTATAAAGAACAGTGACTAGGTTAAAATGTTAAATGGGAAGATTTTATTTTTAAGGTGAACTTACTAATAACCTCACTTCCTGCTGGGTTACCTTTATAGAGCTCCGGACTCCACGTGACTCTCAGTTAGTAGACGCCATATTGGCAGTCAAAAAAGGTAAACAAACACGGATCGTAAACATGAAAATGAACGGGATTGGCTTGGATTTTACTTCGTCGGAGTTTACTTCACACTTTAAAACCGAAGAAATCGTTTTATATAGTCAGAAATTAAATAGACTAAACATCTCCGACTCTTACCATGCCCCTGGGATACTTTTAAAAAATGCTAGAAGCTGTTGGAGCGGACTTCTTACCGGACCTGGCCGGGGAACGCCTTGGGATTCCCCCGGAGCTACTGCCCCCGTAACCTGACTCCGGATAAGCGGATGAAAATTGATGGACAAATAACAGATTTACATGTAAGTAGTTTAAATCGAGTGATGTTTGAATGTATAAACTGAACACCAAGAGAAATCACTAGTCTGATTGTTTTCCGTGAATAAAATAAATATGTCAGGCAGGAGCGTCTCAGGATCTGTCTGAGATCTGTCTCGGTGAGACAGATAATAGCAATCCAAAGTGCTTTTTATGTGTGATCTGACAATTGATCAACCATTGCTTAAAAATTAAATACAGCTTAGCCGGTTAATTGCTGTGATCATAAAACACGTAAACGGCAGCACGCAGAACTCACGAGGCAACGTTTTACGTGATGTTTACTTGTTGCTATGAGTAATAAGACAGAAAAAGCCACGCCAAAATAAGTTTAGGAAGCCCACTAAGATTCGTAATAAAAGCATTTAAAATAAACACCATACACAGTTGAGGAAACGTTGGTTTAAGTACCTGATATGAAGTGGTCGCTGCATAAGTGAAAACCTTTACTCTCGGGATCCCACAGTTTCATTTTAGCCCGGTCACTAGCGAGTTTTATTACAATGATCCAACATTTGCGGCGCTCCGGATCTTGGGGAATCCTGTAGATGGCTCATTCCTTATGTTGCCTGCGTCTGTTCTGCATTCTGGGGCACAACAGGAATCTACCATATTTCCCATTTGATTGAGTTTTCTGACAATAACAAATAGTCCAGCTGCGGGCTTCTGCCTGCCAATATGGCGCCGTTTCGATTTGAACTGTTGCATGCCGGGAGAAGTGACATCAACTCCCGGAGCTCTATAGGTTAATTTCCTGTTTACTTCCTCTTCCTGGCTGCTCTGAGAGGGAGAGTGGCATGCGGTCATGCTCTGAGGCTTATCCACAGCCATCCACTTGGGAATATTGTTCAGGCAACGCCGTAAGTGTTTATACTCCATGATGAAGGTGTTAAAAAAGCATAAATGGCTGTAGTTGTTAAAAAAACAAAAACAAAACATGTTAAAAGAGGTATTTGTCTGATGGTCATTTTCTTTGCTCAGGTTAATACAAGTATGTAAAGTCGTATTTTGAGTTAGTTTGTGAGGCAATATTTATGTAAACATGATCATTTATTCTATTCTGTATTTCTTTTCAATTACAGTTTTCATCGCTTGTCAAATGAAGATTCCAAGAGTAAAAGGTCAACCCTACGCTGACTCCTGTATTATTTGGCAAATGTTTAGCTTGGTGTTTACTCAGAGTTGCTACACTCTGCAACAGGACACTACACTCCCTGTCTCAATTCTGCAATTATTTGCACACTTGTGTTCCACGCACTCGAAGCCTACTGCACTGTGTGAGTATTGAGATTGGGCCCAAGCATCTCAGCTCTAAAGCCGATATTCATCCGCGTACGTCCCACGTCACACAATCAGGAAGCAGAAAATCCATGTGTTAGGAAGTCGTTTTGGGCCACTGCTGTAAAAAAAAGTGAGGCGCAAACCGGAAAAGCTTCTGCCAACGAATTATGAAAGAACAGATAACGCTCGAAACGCGCGGTTTTTCCTGATGTAAGAGGTGAGTCTTCTTTTTGTTTTGTTAGTTTTGGCGTTTACATCATCCTAGCGCTCAATGTTCTGTGACTTTTAAACAAACTGTGAAAATGCTGGCAGTGAAGGGCTTTTCTGATCAGGAAACGGCTGGCAGTGAATGAGTTTTAAAGGAAAATCAAGAGAACTGGTGTATTTCTGTCGAGTAAATGCAACTGCTGAGGAATGGATCGTTTGCAGCACTGAAGCAACAGTTCTGGAAAAAGGTTAGAGAACCATCAAGCTTCGTGGGTCTCATGCTGAGATTTGGACGCCTTTTGTCTTATTAATATGAGATCTGTCTCTAGATCAGATCATTCATTGGATGTAGAGTCTATATGAAGCTGATTGCAGGAAAAATCAGGCAAGACTGACTATGCTGTCATGTGACATACTGCCAAGTCTAAGATCAGATCAGTCAAAATGTGAATTCAGGTCATAGGAGTTGACTTGAATCTGGATTCATAATAAGTTCACATCAGACTTTATTTCAAATAAAAAAATAATCCTAGAGGGAAATTAATGTTGTTGTAACTCATTCTTGGGCCATGGCTTGTCCCATCGAACCAGGTTTCTAATTTAAATTAGCATTTTAGACCCGGGCCCTTTTAAAAGTGATTTATAATAAACCATGTACTCCTTGTATAGATTTCAATGAGGGAACAATACCTACCAAATCCTTTATATTTAGACAATAATTTGATGAACTTGTCCCCTTTGAAAGTTTTTTTTATTTGCACTTGCATTTCTGTGTTTCACCTCCTCTTGCACTGTTGTTTAGCTTCACACTTCTCTCTGGCATGTTCTTAATCTCATTTTCAAACTTCATTTTTAATTTACAGCAGCATCTCTATGTGTTCACCTGTTGGAAGTAAAGTGCAACATTTGGGACCTCAGCTGTATTTTCTGTTGCTGCACAGAGGGACTCGGTTCTTTTACAGTCAAACAGAAACAGATGAAAGCTCCATGAAGTAATATTGAAATACGATCAAAGGTGTTGGGAAATTAAAGTAGAAGCTGTGTAAATATGACGTCTTTATTTTCTCTCTTTATTTTAAGGCATATTACAAGTTGCTAGCACTGAGATCCATAATCATTCAATGCTGTCCTGGTTCAACTCTTGATCCACATTGAAACCTCATTGGAACCTCTGCAGCCCCTAGCAGTGATCTGGCTGGCAAATCACAGCTCTCTAGAGGGGTTTCAAACACATAGAAAGCTGTGATTGGTCCTTAATTGTGGGCCAATCATAGCGCTCTATCTGCTGTGTTAACCAATCATGGCGCTTTATCTGCTTTGTGGGCCAATCAGGGCCCTCTATTCGTCTGGAGGCCGGGATGATGCAACAGAGTGAAACAAGATGGCGACAGCTCATTTGAAATATTTTTTAAATCAATTTTTGACTATTTGGACTTGGGCTTTATTAGAAGCAGGAGCAGATAGATGTATTAAAGTTATTTTGTTAGAAAAAAGGATGCATTTTCTTCAACTGCAGACCGCCTCATTTACTGAAATCTATTGCCGTGAGTATGTCACGTTGTTCGTTGTCCAGTAGCACGCGGAGATCGTTTGAACGACAGCGGTAGAACCAACCCCACGATTGAGAGCCGTCAATGGAGCATTACCAGACTAAATAACATATTAATTTAGTCTGGCTTGCCAGGCTAGTTTTATGATATATCAGGACTTGATGGGTTTTCTTCAAAAAACACATTTATTTATTCGACTTCTTGCCTCTGATTAGACAACAGCGACGTGACTCTTCTACTGACACAACATAGATGTTTTACCTCTACAAATAACACAAGCCTGAATGAGTTCTGTTCTGTTGTAGAATTGCTAATGCTAATAGTTAGCTTCCACTTGTGGATATGCACTCTACTCTCTCCTGGATGCTAAATAAACAACAGCGTTCCCTGTCACAAGCCAAGATTGGTGGGTCTATTAATGCTAATTTTATTATGTGATGTGCAACTGACCGGTTTTCTAATCCAACATTTTTTTACAAACTAAAAAAAGTAAAACATGGTTTCTTAGTGAACTTGGTATTTAATGTTTAATCCTCTAATCATGCTCATGCTTTAACAAGTAAAAGTATAGTAGAGGTTTACAAGTTTACTTACAATAATGAGTAGGATGAAGTAGATGAAATTGTAGAAGGAGTGTGCATCCATCACATAATACATGATCTCCACCCAGCCTTCTAAAGTAATCACCTTGAAGAAAATAGAGTAACAGATCACTCACAAACTTCTTTAAAGCACCACAGATCAACACATCATGACAAATAATGGATTTTAGCAAATATTCACATGTAGTTGGAATGTACCTGAAAAATTACTATCCAGGCATAGACTATGTTGTCAAAGTTAATGGCCCCTTTGTGCGGGTTACTGTTCCCAGTGTGGCACCGAGTGTAATACTGGTTCCAGTTGATGCACAGACCCAGTGCTTCACCAGCACCGCTGCCGTTGGCCACCATCTCAGGACTCAGACCCAAAGACTGTCTGTGCAGAGCATCTTCCTTATCCAGACAACAGACACGTCCTCCTTCACGCCTTGCTGGTACGTCAGAACATGACATGATGCCATTGTCTGAAGCGAGGGAGCAGATGAAGGGACGCTCATCATCTTCCTCTGGTCTGTAGTACGGAGCTGGAAGGGTCATACCGGAGGGG